CCACACGACCCCGGGCTGGACTCCGCTTCGTCCACAGTGAAAGCCGATCCGGTGATCCACAGCGTGAAGTTGATGTATTTCCTCAGCGACCAGCACGGATCAGCTCCAGGCATGACGAAGCAGATATCGTCCTCTTTTGGAAGACCAAACAAAGTAGTTTCGCTTTTTACAACGAAACACACAGCTCCTTCACGACATGGCGGCGGCAACAACAATACTACAGCGAGAATAAAAGTTACGCCTTCTTTCTTTACGTGAACATTTGGGCGGCGTTATGCAAATCTTCCCACATAGTGATGTAGAATTTTTATATTATCCTGTTATTTTGTAATATACATGCAGAAATTATTTTAGAAAATTTTAAAATTTGTTGGCATTGCACTTTGAAAGATGTATGTGTAATTAAAATCCTAGAGAGTGAAAACATTGAATGACAGGACACTTTTCCTGTCAGCTGTTTCACTATTGCAGTGGTTCAAAGATCCCCGACCCCCACTGGTTCTGCTGAAATGACAATGCTGCATATTTTCAAACTTTTAATTAATTAAATCAATTAAGAATTTAATTAAGTTAAGAGTGTCACTAGAATAACAATTTCTTAATTGATGTTTGAAGAACCGTATGTTTGACATATTGGTCCATCTTTTACACAGAATTTGCACAATGTGTTATACAGTTTTCAGATCTTTCCATTTTTCTAGTCATATTTTCATATATTTTATAAATAGTGATATATATATATTATATCTTATTTATCATATAAATAGTCAGATATTTTATTTTATTTATTCCATTCTGATAACAATTAACAACAATTAACAATTACTTAATTGTTGTTCCTACTGTAAAGTATGCCAATGTAGTTATTTTACTTCCTCCACAAAAAAAAAGAAAAAAAAACTGGCACACATTTTATTGTTAAAATGACACAGAAGAACAGTAAAGGGACTATAGTTTAAAAAATAACCATATCTTATATATGCTTAAAGAAATGTATATATATATATAAAAAACAGCCTTCCAATTGAGAACCGTGTGAGGTAAACATATTACAGGTAAATGTGCTTTTTGTGGGGTAATAGAAACCGTTGAACATGTAATATTAAAATGTCGTAAATATAGAGAGAATTACAATTATAAAGAACTTAAAAGGTAATAATAAAGAAAAAAAAATAAGATAAATTGGATATTAGGAAAAGGGTTAAGAGAAGGTATTAATCAAAGAATAGTAATGGAATATATAGTAGAAACAGGATTAAATAAACGAATTTGATAGTTAAATAAATAAAGCAAACAAGCTTGATTTTTTGGCATGGGAGCTGAACACGCAGCAGCCAGAAACACAGCTTGGGTGAACCCGAAATAAAAAATAATAAGTAAATAAAATATGAATAGAGGCGGGACTATCATCCATGTATGAATAGAAACAGTTGGTGGCGGTATGTGCCTATGGTGCGAAATACGCCAAAAAAAATCCAAAGAAGAAGAAGAAGAAGAAGAAGAAGAAGAATACGAGAACCGTGAGTAGACAGGACTTTTATTTTGGCCTGGCGTTAAAACGTCATAAGGCTGCGCCGCTCTCATCTGGCTCAACAGCAGAGGTTTGTGTTTTGAACTTTTATGTATTTAAGGTGTTTACATCTATTTATATTAGTTTACAAGTAATATGAAATCAACCAATTAATTATGTGAAGTGCTTGTCCGTGTGCCGCTTTACGGTTACGTTTTCAGACCATAATACAAAGGCAAAAATGAAATATAAAACCAAACCAAAACGTTTTTTTTTTTAATATTGCAATTTTCATTTAGACCCAAAACTCACGTCGTTACAAACATGTGTGACTTTCTTTATTATGTGGAACATATAACATGTTTTTGCTTTTGTATTGATATGGTCTAAAATTGTTATTAAGCGTTACATGAACCCTAATGGTGTATCTCCTTTATGCGTGTTATTTGTCTGCAATTTAATTGTCTGGAATCATATTTCTTTTTATTATTTGTTTTCCTCATTTTAAACATGACATAATGTCCAAAAATACAGGGGAAAAACTGCTGTTGAAACAACTGAGATCAGCTGCCATCTGTTATTAATATGGCGTTTATTAAAGAAGAGAGTGAAGATATGAGCATTTCAGAGCCATTTCGAGTGAAACGTGAAGAT